AGACCGCTGGCTCCAATAATTGAAGTGCTTGTGTTTGGTTCAAAAGTCGCTGCTGTGGAATTCATTATAACTTTGTTCGATTACAACAAATTCGAAAGAATAATCTTTTTATAAGACTTTTTCTACACAACAAATCAAAAATTACAACTCTTGAGAAACAAACACGAAAATCGTTTATCAATTCTCGTTTTCGTGGGACTTTGCCTGTGCCGGGAACGCTTTGGTTCGTGGACCGCCGATTCACAGATCGTGAAGAGGGGGCTTATGATTCTAACTTCGTTATCGAAGTAGAAATTGAAACGATATCTTATCGAAGTAAGATAGTCGTTCTTCTTAAAATCAAGTCGAAGCTTAATTTCAAGGCGTTGCAAGAAAAGAACCCAAATCTCTGCTCTCTCTGCTCTGGAATGCTCTAACAAATGCTCGATCCTCGTCAGAAGTGACCCTAGGGGGGTATTTATAGCCTCAAGGGTCTGTAACTGCAAAAACTTAACAATCGAAGAAGTCAGTACGGCGAGACAGTGTTTACTGTCTCGCTGGGCGAGACAGCGTTTGCTGTCTCGACCCGCGAGACAGTAAATTTGCTGTCTCGCTCAGCGAGACAGTAAATGCTGTCTCGGAAAATGGCAGTTTCTCGCTGTAACTGTTCTCTCACGTTTCAAACTCCGTTATTTTGGCAGTTATCCACGTGATTTTCGCCCATGATGTTTCCCACGTCCCTTGGCAGTTAATGGACACGTGTAGGGCAGTTACAAATGTAGTTTTGACTATTTCAACACTGTCTCGCTGGCGAGACAGCAAAGACTGTCTCGCTGGCGAGACAGTTCATACTTGTTTTGATTTTTCCAAAACAGTATGAAATCCTTTCTTGTGAATTTTTGAGTGATCTTCTCTATGCTTGGGATATCTATTAGCATTTTTTGACGCCTACAGATACCCCCTCCAAAGTATTCCAGACTCATTCTTTTATAGAGGAGCATGGGATACTTTGGATAAGATAGATTTTACTTACGATCCCTTCAATGCTTGGCTGAATAGATCGTATGAAAGGACTTGTAAATGGCTTCAATGTTTAACCTCTTCTGCTGTTAGTCTATCCAGTTCTTCGTAGAATAGCTAACGTTCTCCCGGCGTCGCGTTTATCGCTTGACCGTTGTCGAGATCTTGAATTGAAGTTGATACTTGCTCTTGTGAATTCAGCGTTTACCATTGAATTGGTATATCCATTGAGAATTCCTCAGGTTATCCTTAAGAATATTCAGATTAATATTCTCCAGAAACTTCCTGTTGAGGGTGGGAATACAGTTTAGACTCGTGTACCCATTGGAGTATTCCACTGTTCCATAGTGCAAAACAGAAAAGTTTACTGTCTCGCTCGGCGAGACAGAGTTTTCTGTCTCGCTGGGCGAGACAGTGTTTTCTGTCTCGCTCGGCGAGACAGAGTTGTCTGTCTCGCTCAGCGAGACAGAGTTTCCTGTCTCGCCCGGCTGCTATATAAGTCGGGACTTAGGGTTTTAGGGTTTTTTACGTCGGATTTTGGCGATTTTTTGGGCGATTCTTGGGCGATTTTCGACCAGTTTTCTTCTATTTCTTCTCCTCTTTGTTGCCGACTTGGGAGGTGCTCTTGTTTGGGAAGATTTCACTCAGATTTCAAAGGTTTGTTCTTCCCCTTTTCTCCAAAATTTTGACTCTCCTTCAACTGTGACTGTGCATGCATCATTTCGGTTGTATTTGTCCTATTTTTTGTCGATTTCATGTTCAAAATCTTAACCTTCCTCTTGGATTTCAATGTAGATCACATACTCATCATGTCGCCACGTAGAGCTCGAGGGAAGGGAATCCGACCGACTGTTCAGAGCCCTGAGGAGGCTGCCCCTGCTGCACCCTCACGTGGAGGTATATTTCTTTCACCTTTTCACGAATTTAAATATTGTATTTCGTCCATTCCATATGTATGTTCCTATTTTTGCTTGCAGATCCTCGTTTGTATCCTTTGAGGTACCTTCGAGAAGAGCCGGTATCCTCCTTTGAGGGGATCGACGCTTAAAAGTGTTTGTTTTGCTTTGACAAAACACACTTCATAATACACAGGGGCGATTTTACATCATCCCATATGTATTGAAAGGTTTTGGTATGCCGTTATAATGCCCGCATACCTCCTTTATACATATGGTGGATAGAAAATCGTCACACCTGTTATGAGATAACGACTATATCTTATAGAATGAGATATACCGTTTTTCTCTAAAATTTTAGGATGACACTTACACAATTTATGTGTATGCCTCTTTTATCAGTCCGATTTCCTTCTACCACATTTACTGCTGATGTGATTACTGGCCGGAGTAGCGTGACCCACTCTTATTACGAGGGGATCCCGTTAATTGAATCCTCTCCCCAGTTTAAATCTGATTATAGTGGAAGTGATAGAGAATTAATCCAGCGAGGTAGTTGTCGTGTTCTACGACGATTAATCACAGATGCGCCCTTGATCTCGGAGCAAGACTCGAATCAATGCATAAGGAAGCCAGATTTCTTATTTGGTGACTCGGTAAAAGATCCGAAGATTGCTTTCTGCCAGCCTGCGCAATGGTTGCACCAGAATGGGTCCTCATTCTTATATCTGCCTTTTATCCCCCGGGATCACTCACTATTAATGTTCAGGAATCTATCAGTTGGACGTGAGATGTTCTGGAAGTTGACTGAAAATCACGAGCGTATTCATTGTGGTTTTATTGGGAAGGAAGCCAACCCAGGCTCCAGTGAAAGAGCTCATGTGCGGGGGCTTCATCCGGGTATCTTGGGACAAGATAATATACCTCAGAATGAAAAGATAGTGCAAGCCAACACCGTGAAGAACCGGTTAGCGGCAGCGGGCAAAAGATTACCCAAAGAGACTTTTAGATGCTATGGATGGGTCCATTATTCTGGGGACAAATGGTGGTGGACCAGGATGACCCGATATGTGTTAAACCGCTTTGGGCGAGAGTTAGCAGAATTAGGGTTAGATGTCCCGATTCGTGCCACCATGCATGGCCTACAGAGTAGTGTAGGTCATTTCCTCTGCTTGTTCGAGATCTATAACCCGGACACTAATACATTCTTTACCAAGAACGGGGAACTCGGATTACCACTGCATGAAATGATGCAGGTGTCTGGTTTGCCTATGGGCGATGTTCCCTATCAAGAGTTCTTTCCAACTAGCAATCAGCTGAACAAGATGAAAGATAGCTCAACTGTGACTCATGATACTTTATGGGAATTGACTTGCCATTATCATATAGCCATGGCCGAGATGGAGCCCAAAGCCAGAAAGAAATCTCCTCAGGTCAGCTTAAAACAATTCGCTGACTACCTCTTCAAGAACCTGGATGTCCGTTCGGCAGATGTGTGCGGATTGTCTCCTTTGAGTACGGATGAAATTAACCGTCTGTTAGAGAAAACCAACGCGCAATCTTATACTTCGCGCTCAGAAGATGGATTTTTGCACGGCACTAAGTTCCGCTCTTATCTGTGGCAAGCTGGTGTTCCGATTAGCCCTACTGCTCTGCTGGCGGGTTTTCTAGCCTTATGGTTAAAGAGATGTGTAGTTCCTCATCAGTCCGCAGATGCGATGCCAATGGAAGTGTTGTATCCGGCCGTCCAGCTAGTTACAGGTCGCAAATTATCTTTGCTTCCCGCTATGGTGGCCGATATTCATAGTGGATTACGGCAATTAATCTCCGTGTTTACTCAGGAGAAAAAGAAACCCTCTGCCAGTCTGTCCGTTCCGAAGCTGGAGCTACCTTATACTTATCTGATGACCTGGTTAGTACTTCATCGACCAGATTTAATGGAAGCTCCTGAGACGGCAAATTCTAGCATCCCTCTGTTGCAGAATCTCGAGAATTGCAAATGGATCAGGCATCAAGAACCCGACATAACGAGGCAGTTTAAAATTCACAAGTGTTGGGAATTCTTCCCCTGCTTCCCTCAATTCTCCGGTACCTACAATACTACTTTAGTAGATGCTGAAGACCCAAGGCAGAATCGCACTATCTTGGATGTCGGGTGCTTCAGATGGTTGATGAATATTCGACCTGGATATCTGTTCTTCAGAGTAAGGGATGTTTGCCACATTGAACCCTATCTCCCATGTCGATTCGCCCGTCAATTCGGGTATGATCAGATATATGTCGGCAATCCAAACCGCCACCTTAGCTTTCGAGGTGGACTTATCGATGGTGCGAGGGCTTGGTTCTGGAGCATTGCTGGCTGCACAAATGTTGAATTTGATCTTCCTTTAGAGGCGCCGCCCCTAAGGATGACCTTTCTCTTCTGCAAATGGCTGATAGCCACCAATATTGCCACTCGACGTAGGAGGATATCAGACTCAGAGGAGGAAATAGCTCCACGACAAGCAACAGAACCGCCTCGTGAAGCTGTGATGTCGCCTCGAGGAAAAGAGGCTGCTGAATCATCAAGGAAAGGAAAGGAACCGGCTCTCCCAGTTGATAGTGAAGAGGAGTTTGATAGTGAAGCAACCGAAACTTCAGAAGGGGAAGACGAGAATGAATCAAGTTCTGAGGAAGTATCTGGCCTTCCCGATTCATTCTTTGATAGAGGACTTGTAAGGCCTTCTGTCGCTCCGACCCAACCACAAGCTGCTCCAAAGAAACGTAAGGAAAGAGTCGTCATGGAACATCCTAACCGGATGACGGTAGAAGTTCTTAGTTGCGACGAAGAGGATGAAGAGGATATGGTGCCTCTCATTCGTCGGCAAATATCTCGAACTTCTACTCAAGCTCAAACTCAAGTTTCTCCCCGAGCTGAGTTACGCACCAAACATCGTCATGAAGGTTCTGGTGCACGCCCTCTGAAGAAACAGAAGAAAGCTGTTTCTAAACCGCGCGTTCATCTTCCTGCTGTAGAAGAGGCGTCTGGTCGTAGTGCTTCTTCTGATGAGCAAGGTAACGATTTGTTTTTATAGCTTTTACACTTTTTGACGTTCAAACTTATTTCATGTTCAACTTCTGCAGGGAGTCGAGAGGAAGGAGAATTGCCAGCTGATGCTGCTTCTCCCGGAGGTATGGAAATTGAGGAAACAAGCTTCGTCCAACAAATGCATGATGCTCTGAAGGAAGGATCGGCTGATGTTCCACCCACTCCTGACGTTGATCCATCAGCTGCGGACACAGGTACTGATCTTTCTCCTCTCGGAAGAGAAATCCGAGAAATGAATGAGTCGGACCGTGTGCCTCCTCTAATGACCTGTGCGCTTTCTCTCCTTTTAGTCAAATTAAAAGAAGCAGGTACCAGTAGTGGAGCTCTCGAATCAGCCCCGACCAATGAAGGTAAAATCGATCTTTGTCTTGGGCAGATTCGTCTAAATTTACATGTTATTTATGGTTCCTCATGTTCTTTAGACATCCCGATGCACGAGCCTATTGAAGGAGAAGCTACCCATGCCACCAAAGTCGATGATTTTAATAATTTCGACTTTAATATCTCAGAGGACGACCATCAACAAATCCTTGATTCTCTGTTAGAGAAAGCCTCTGATGCAACTATCGGCTCAGATGTTGGAATTGGTTCAACGGAAGCCGGTCCTTCTGAGAGTAAGACTTTGGTTCTGTGAACTCCACATATATATATACGTATATATTTTGACTTGATTAATCATATAAGTGTCTGAATTATAGGACCAACTGCTGGAGCTGATACTACTATAATTACTGGAACGTCTGATCGGCCAGAGGGTAGCGAACTCGTGCCATGGGCAGGAACTGAGGTTGATTTGCAATCATCAGTTCTTGAGCCTCAACCTTCTACTCCTATGGACCCTATGATGATAGAAGTCACTGTCACTCCCCAGATTAGTCCGGTCGCAACAAAAGCGAGACCAACTGAAGGCGTTGGTACGTCGGCTGATGTTATGCCTATTGCTGGTACATTTTACCCATAATTTTGTTTCAAATTTTGGGTTAACATCTCATTATGCTCATTGTAACTCCTTCGTTTGTAGAATCAACTCTTAAAGAGCCTCTTAGCTTGGACCCGCCGTCTTCTGAAGCTTTAATTGAAAAAGCCTCTGATGTAGCGGGTGCATCAACAGCTACCATTCCTGAATCAACCTTGGTTGTTCCGGAAATCAGGTTACCATCCTCGGGTGAACTAAGTCATGCTGAAGGTTCTTCCATCGAACTTGGTATGTCTTAGTTTGTTGTTTTGTATGTATATATATGTCCTGTACTGACCTATTTGCCTTCATCGCAGTTCCTTCATCATCATTATCAGATCGCATCCGAGCTTTGTTAGCAGACGAGGATCCGGATAAAGCCGGCATTTGCTCTGATCTCGACGGCTTCATCTCCTTTTTGAATTCTATGGTTGATCGTATTCTCTCCAAAGGATCGCGATTTGAGAGTTTTAAGAAACCTCTTGACCGCTATATATCAGGGATCCGTGATGAAGGATATAATGATTTAGCCGATTCGATCAACGCCTACATGGTTGACTTGAAGCAACATGTTGACCTTCTGAGGGGTCTTCGCACTGAAAGCGTACCTTCCTACATTGCTTCTCGCATGGACTCCAAGCTACAAGCGTTGCGTGATTCCCAAACATCAGCTAATCTCGAGCTCCAACAGCTAAGAGCCCACAGCGATCAACTTAGGATGAATGTTGGCAAGAGAATACAAGCCCAGGTTAACCTACGTCGGGATTTAGAATCGAGTCGAGCAGAAATAGCTCGCTTAGAGGAGGAACTTGCAATGGCCAAGGACGCTCATGATGTCTTGAAGTCTGAGTTGACGCAGGAGATTCATATTGAAGGCAACCTGTTACAGCAACTGAACCTTCAAGATAAAATAATTGCTGAAAAGGAACAAGAGGTCGTCGCGCTTCACAACGTTGACGAAGAAGCCTTTAAAATCAAATTGGCAGCTGAGCTTGAACAGGCTCGTGCGTTAGAGCTGTCAAAACTTGAAAATCAGATTAGTCAGTATAAACTTTTGTAATTGGAGGACATATATTTTTGTAGCTTTGTTTGAAAATTCTTGGTCAACATAATGAACCTTTTTGCTCATTATATTGAATCTTTTTGCTCATTGAGGTTTTATTATGATTACTCATTCTTGTTTAGAATAAATAACCATAATACTTATAGGATTTTTGGCAAATCCTCAGCCATCAACGGATTTGATATACCTTTACCGATTACCGTTTGAATCGGGCTAGTATGTGAATTATCTAAGTCCGTTTCACATATAACGTTGCGCTAAAAGAATTAAACTCTTTTAGACTTTGAACTACACTGTTGAATATGTAGGCTACATGTGTTAGATGTAGGCTTATCTCTAATAAGGGATAGAGATAACATCCCCCATGTGTGAACAACATGGATTTCAAAGTGTGAATAGGTTGCATTTCCTATATAGGACAACGAACCCAAAATCGGAGAGAAAAAGAATTGTATATTCCATTTCTCAATCTCTTGTTTGTTGGTAGAGATAAACCCATACTCGGAGAGGAAGAATTTTATATTCTATCTCCTGGTCTCTTGTTTGTTGGTAGAGATGAACCCAGAATCGGAGAGGAAGAATTTTATATTCTATCTCCTGGTCTCTTGTTTGTTGGTAGAGATAAACCCAGAATCGGAGAGGGAGAATTTTATATTCTATCTCCTGATGAAAAGGAAACTCACAGTGGAATCTCCACTTAGAGAAAATAGGTTGGTTTGAATAACCCTAACTGTCATAAGGTTTGATTACTCAATTCAAAAGTAAACCTTTCGTTCGCAAAAATGAATCGAAAGGAGATTTTGGTTGTGGTCCTAACTGTAGTAAGGTTTGACCAAGTGGGAATTTTGAGACGATCCTAACTGTAGGAAGGTTTGATCGCTCAATTTGTGGACCTCTCGTTCATGGAACGAATCGAGAGGGGATTTTGGCTTTGGTCCTAACTGTTTAAAGGTTTGACCAAGTGAGGAATAGGAGTAGGGTGCAAATAACAATGAGTTTGTTGATTTGCACAAACTAATCGGTGGGAAATTTTGATTTTAAACATAAGAATTTGACACGAAATAATCTGTCGACTGATACATACTGATGATCGTTGATCAATCCGACCGATGGGGGTTTCATAGCGTGAGATTACAAATCATCAAATCTCATCTTCCATGATTATATTACAAGGTTTTGCTGAGGAAAGATTAACTATCATTAAATCTCATCTCAACAAAAGTTGTAAAAGAACAGTGAATTATTCAAATGACCAGCTTCTCATTTAAAATAGTGAACTGATCTCGGGTTATCCTGAAATATCCTATATAGGATTCTCTAGGAACTTCCCGCTTTACACAGGTTATCCTGAATATATTACGGATAATATTTTTTCAGGAACGAGCAAAACTTCTGTCAACTTAAGTGGACGTCCACTAAGTTTCTTATCCATTGATGATTACTTGATTGAGCTACATTGTGGATGATCCGCTCCGTTAAACTTGATCTACATATTCTAAAACCCCAACACACCAAATTTGGTGTGAACTCGTTGTGGTTTGACCCTCCGTCGAGCCATGCAAAAAGTTCTATTCACTCGAAACCGTTAAAATTGATACGAGTGGATGAAGGGTCAAACTACGACGGGTTCACCCCAAATTTGGTGTGTTGGGGTTTTAGAATTCACATGATTGAGGGACATTGTGGATGATCCGGTCCGTTGAACTTGATCTACATATTCTAAAACCCCAACACACCAAATTTGGTGTGAACTCGTTGTGGTTTGACCCTCCGTCGAGCCATGCAAAAAGTTCTATTCACTCGAAACCGTTAAAATTGATACGAGTGGATGAAGGGTCAAACTACGACGGGTTCACCCCAAATTTGGTGTGTTGGGGTTTTAGAATATGTAGATCAAGTTGAACGGAACGGATCATCCACAATGTAGCTCAATCAAGTAATCATCAATGGATAAGAAACTTAGTGGAAAAAAACAAGAAAAGTTATCGTAGATGTCAGAGTATAGTAATTTTCCTAGTTTTACATTATTTGATTGACATATATTATAGTGAGATCGATGGCACGTAACAACAGCTTCGGTCAATTTCCCTTCAATCCCAAGGAATTTTGGTTGAAATTTACTGTAGCCGCGGGTCCTAGTAACCGTCACAGTAACTTTCCAAGCTTTCACCCTAAAACGTCCAAACAGCCTCCAAAGATTCAAAGAACATCTGCAAGGTTCAGGGATCGCAAGCAACAAAGAAAGAACCTGTGAGTGACGAAGGGTGAAAATGACATTATAGGACCGGGTCATTGTCTAGTCTAAGATTTAAAGAGCATCTTGGAAAACTTAAAAAGAGAAAATCACCAGCCTTATCCCCTTAATTTAGGTGCTGTTTTCAATCAAAAGCAGGGTTGGGTACCAACTCCAATTTGGATTTTCCTTCCTGCAGGAACTTCGCCAAGTTGAGTACAACCGTGGTTTTCTGAGCGAACAAGTTAAAGCTACTCTAAATCAGCGTACGTGTATTGTTCAAGTCAAATTTAGAATACCCCTTAAGTTTTGGGTTGTTAACTTTCAAAATGACAGTTTTTGGGTTCTCAGAAACCCATCTTCAACTTTCAACATTAAAAAAAAAAAACTTCCCTAACAGGTTGACCAGCAAGTTCTCACGAATAGGTAGTTCATGAATAATAGCTAGCTCATGATGAAACTACGCAAGGAATATTTTAGGATAAAATTACACATAAAGAGATCAATTATTATTATTATTATCTGCTTTCCTTCAGTAACAGGCATGTCCGTTTTAAGCTGTTTTAATCGCTAAAACTGAAAAGATAATCTATACCATAACTACTAAGTAGTAAGACTTCAAAATACACATGTTTTCCAGTTTTATGTACTTGAAAAGTCTTTTGCTTTCAATTCTATAGATAGAATTCTGCAGGCTGCTTTGAGGGCGACGATTGGGCCCACCAAAAGTTGGATAAGGAATGGGCCCAACTACAGAACAACGCTGCTTTGAGGTCATGGGTCCAAATTTTAATGACCGTGCTCTGCGGTTGTCATCGGATTCATTAGAATCATTATCATCTCAACTGTCTCTTCCCGGGGCAAAAAAATTAAAATATAAAACAAAAACAATAAATCAAGAAAAAATAGTACAGATAATAGGAACCAAGAGAATCATTTTTTACACTAATCTTTTAATTGGTTTGACACCTATTTTTTATTATTGTATTAATCAAGTGCAAATTACATAAAAAACCTAAAACTTTTAGCATTTTGTAGTAAACCCCAAAATTTTCAAAATCACAATAAATTTTCCAATAAATTTCTGCAGTTTGAAGATAGTCTTCATAAATTCGTGCTAAAACAACAACATAGAAAGACATTTTGAAAGTTATTGGGAGTTTGATGTAATTTATCCAAAGATGTATGCAGTTTTCTGCAAACACTAGTAGAAAAACGACAAAACTAGACGGAACAATCTAGACGGAAAAAATTTCCGTCTAGGTTGGAGCAAACTAGACGGAAAATTTCCGTCTAGATTGTTCCGTCTAGTTTGGATCAAACTAGACGGAAAATTCCGTCTAGTTTGACAAACGAGACGGAACAGTCAACCTAGACGGAATTCCGTCTAGGTTGACTATACAACCTAGACGGAATTCCGTCTAGGTTGCTTCAACCTAAACGAAAATTTCCGTCTAGGTTGACTATGCAACCTAAACGGAATACCGTCTAGGTTGAAGCAACCTAGACGGAATTCCGTCTAGGTTGCATAGTCAACCTAGACGGAATTCCGTCTAGGTTGAGGCAACCTAGACGGAAATTCCGTCTAGGTTGCCTAGGGCAATCTAACAAGTTTGCCTAGGGCAAATCAGCCGCCACCCCCCCCCCCATTTCTCTCTCAACTCCTTAGCTCTCCTCCCCTCCTCCCCCCCTCCCACCCCCTCCTCGCGGCGCTCCCCCGCCCGCCCGACAAACCCCGGCCTCCCGGACCCCCCTCCTTCGGCCACCCTCTTCCCGTTCCCTGACCATCCCCCTCACCCCTTCGCTCGACATCTCCTCACCCTCCCGACCCCCCCCCTCCTCCGGCCTCCCCACCCGCCCCTCGGCCCCTAGCCCTCGCCGGACCCACCTCCTTCGCCCCGCTTCCCCGAGCCCCTCCATCCCCCCCTCCGCCGACCCCCCCTCGCTCCGGCCTCCCCACCGCCTGCTCTCAGCGGCCTCACCCCCCTGTTCCGGACCGCGCACCCCCTCCTCCCGCCACCGGGCGTTTGCCTCCCTTCCCGAGCCTCAGCCATCCCCCGCTCCCCTTCCTCGACGCCTGTAGGCGTCAACAAAGGCTGAGAGTATCGCAAACAACAGCTCAAAGGAAGTCATCCAAAATATCAAAAAGAACACAAGTATAGACTGTCTTGCGGCATGCAAGACCAGTCTTTACTGTCCGTAGCACGGACAGACTTGACTGTCTCGCCGTGCGCGGAGACAGCTTCAACTGTCTGCGGGCGAGACAGGAGCTTTTACTAGTCTCGCCCGACGGCGAGACCAGTCATCATTGTCTCGCGCAGTGCGAGACAGTCTTTACTGTCGCGCCGAGTGGGCGAGACATGAATTTACTGTCTCGCACGTGCAGAGCAGCTCTCAGATGGTCAAAAACACCTTGGTAAACTGGCCCATATCACGTGGCCATTAACTGTCAAAGAACATGGGGAACGTCGTGGGCGAGAATCACGTGGATAACTGCCAAAATAACGGAGTTTGAAACGTGGGAAGGCAGTTAAAACGAAAACTGCCTGACGGTTACTGTTTCCGAGATAGCGTTTACTATCTCGCGGGCCGAGACAGCAAACACTGTCTCGCCCACCGAGACAGCAAACACTGTCTCGACAGCCGAGACAACAAATGCTATCTCGCGAGCTTGTTTTCTGCCAACTGTTCCTAGGGGCTATAAATACCCCC